TCTGGTTGTGTCTTATTGCAAGGTCCACATTGAATCAAGTTGTAAGCTCCTTGACAAAGCTGTAACTGGATGGTGCTGGCACTTGTGTCAAAAAAAAGTCACTCCTTTCTTCTTCTCTTCTTTCAAGTTGGTACTTGTCTCATGTAGGGTAGTTGTATTTGAGATTCTTCAACAGCTACCAGAATCCGGAATTCCTCTTCTCAATCACTCTCCCACCCTTTCTATACGGTCAGCAGGGTGGAGAGTGGGTGGAGAGTCCAGTTGTCATTGAAAGATTTTTTAAAAAAGGCTATTTTACCTTCTGTTGGTGGTGTTTATACGTAGTAGAGGGCCAAGGTAGGGCATATTTTCAAAAGTAGTCACAACTGTACATGTAAAACAACAAAGGGGGTGTGGGCAGGGTAGCAAGGCTTGTAAGTCTAGTATCGTCTGCTGTCCTGTCCTCTTTGTTGTCGGTTCTCTTAAAACATTTCCATCAAAGAGTTTTCTAGTGCATTGATCTTGCACTGCTTTGTCTTGACAACTTCTGAAAGCATCTGAATCTTGTCCTTGAGGGCGGTAACTTTCTTTTCCTCACGTTCTAATTTGACAGCAGCCTCGTGAAGTTTGTCTGCAATTGAGGCTCTTGGTTTCCTCTGCCTTGATGAGTTGGAAGAGTTGGGGCAGTTGCTCTTGGATCTTTGCTGCTCTCTCTTGCTCTTCATTGTTTAGGAGCTTTATCTCCTTAACCTGATTCTTTTGATCTTCAATCGTATCATCTTGTTGCTGAACCTTTTTGAGAAGAGCCTTTACTGTGTTTTCCTTTGCTTCCACGGTACTCTGCAGTGTCAACAAGTCTGCTGTGAGTGTTTCTGATCGTTGCTTCTCCTTGGCTAGGTGTCGTTCAGCTGCAAAGATTTCCTCCTTTTTCATCGCCAACTCGTCCTCATGACAATGAACCTTCATCTCGTGAGTAGTCAACTCTTGCTTCTTCTCATTGAGACCGTACGATAAATCGGAGAGTTCCTTCTGCAACGCCACTCTCTTCTCTCGCTCAGATGCACATTCCTTTTCGAGGATGTTCAAAGCGCTAGATTGTTGTAGCAACTTGGAAGCATCCATATCAAGTTTCATTTCCAAATCCTCAATGGTAGTGTTGGCTGCAGCAAGTGTGCTTACCAATGAAGACACATCTTGAACGAGGTTGTTTGCAACCTTCTGCTGCTCTGTATGTATGATTTCCAAGTTCTCGATCTTTGTGTCCTTACTGGCAAGAACTGCCTGAAAGCCGTTGGACTCGAGTTCCAAGGACTTGATGTAGGCGTGGTGTGAAGCTTTGACTTGGCAGCTTCAAGCTTCTGGCAACGAGCGCTTTTGCCATCGATCATTTGTTGCATGTATTGAATTTCATTCGATTGGTTTGTGATGATCGTCTTTTGTTCATCAATTTCCAAAAGGAGACCCTCGACCTCTTGTTGGGCTCGGGCAAGAGCATCTTTGGTGCTGGTTTGCTCGACATGAAGATTCTTCACCCGGGCTTGTTCCTTCTTATGAAGTTTCTCGATTTGACTGATCTGACTTTCTTGTCAAGAAAGTTATTGATGCTGCTTTTCAATTTTGTTGTTGAAAGATTGTGCTTGGTTCGTCTTCTCATCCAATAGCTTACGGTTACAATCCCGGTCGTGCTCAACCTTGCGCTTCATTTCTTGTAGCGTAGACTTTGCAGACTGCAAAGCATCTCGCGTGTTGGTCATCTCTTGCCTTTCTTCATGCAAGCAATTTTTGGCTTGCTTGAGAGAAAGTTCCGCCCCCTCCAACTTGCGTTTGGTCTGCTTGTGAGCATGACACACAATTTCGAGAGCCTTTTGAGCTTCTGTGAATTGTTCCTTCTCCTTTGTCAATTGCTTTTTGATCTTTTGTTGCTTTCTCTCCAACTTCTCAATCTCGCACTTTTGTTGCTCAGCTATTCCTTGGGCAGCAGCCAAGGCTTTCTCGGTCGTTTGACTTTTACTTTCAGCCCTCTTGACCTCCTGCTTCCATTGTTGTTTGATATCCATGGCCCTTGCTTTCTCAGACTCTACCAACTTTTTCAATTTTTGCGCTTCTGCCCCCATTTCTGTCATCTTGGCTCGTTCTTTTCCCCATATCTTTTGTTTCTTGATCATTCGCAATCGGTAGTGATTGTTTTGAGACTCAAGGTCTCGCACTTGTTTGTGTTTTTGGGAAAGAGCGACCGAGGCAACTGACATGGAGGCCACTGATGAGTTATCATCCCAGTCAAGATTCTGGAACTCCCAATTCATCGCTTTCATCATTTTAGACTTATCAGCCTTCTCCATCTCTAGTTGCCTGTCCAGTTTTGAAACCTCTTCATTTCGCATCTCAAGTTGTTTATGTAGCTGCTTGTTGGAATTTTCAAGAGCAGCAGCTTGTTCTTGTTGCTCTTGCACTTGACGCTTCAACTCACAGTACTTCTCACTTTCCGTCTGCTGCATATCCTTCTTGCATGTTCCGGACTTTATCCTGCAAGAGATTTGCCTGCATGATTTTATCGTGTAAAATTTCGGCTTGGGTATCAAGCTTTGTTTGAAGGATGTGGTTCTGTGTTTTGTAATGACCCTGGGAATCATTCTTTGTTTGAAGTAATTTGACCTGAGATCCAAGGTCTGTTCTCAGTATCTCGACAGCTCTATCGTGGTCTTCCTTTGAGATTGCCGTCATACTGGAGGTGGTAGTTGCCGTTGAAATTGTATGATCGTCATCTTCGTGGTACTTCTTGTGATGCATGTATCGGCTTCTGGCATTCAAAGAAGAGTTCTTGTCCAATGACAGGGTGTGTTTCGGTTCGTTTCCATTTTTCTTTCAATGTTGTAACCAACATGCGCAACAAGTATTCTGCACTATGTCCAGTTACCTTTGCAGCATGAGTTGCAACTCCACCGAGCATCATGAGTAGAGAGGACATGAGGATGAAGTCGTTGGCATTCTCATCTTTTCGGCGTGGGAGTGGCGAACAGGTATCATCATCAAGTTCCGGAAAGTCAAATGATACATGTTCCATGTTCCTCCCTCTGGGTGTATCGACATCGGTATAATTCGGTTTGTAGGTAGTTGAAATGTCCATGTTGTGAGTGCGATGCTCAGGTACAGAAGTTGTGGTGTTCTACAACGACATTGGGTTGATTTTGTGAGAAATTTTTGATGTCGACATAGGCGATTCGAACTAAATATCGCGGAAATTGGTTGGCGAATCACCAGCACGGTCAATAAGCACGGTTATAGTCTGACCGTTAGAATTTCCAATATGGAAGGGAGGCGCATTGATTCATAGGCGAGAGAATAAAGAGTCATGCTGTCACAATCCAACAAATACCTACAAATTTCAATAACAACAATTTACTATTACTACTAGTTATACTAGTATCCGCACTACTAGAAGTGGAAGGTCCTGTCTCAACTGGCTGGGATGATGGCTGCTACAGTACGTATTTTGAAGGCCACAGGACCGGCCACTCTCTTTTCATCACATCCAGGAGACGATTGATTCCTTCCCTTTTGACATATATTCAGTTCGTTTTTTGTTTGGTTCCTTCCTCGTTCCTTCGTACTTCTTACTCGGTATACGAAAGCTTCAAATGAATCTTGGAATCCTTGGAGAACCATTTTCCCGCCTTTTCATCAACGACCTTAGTAACCGCTTTGGGCTCTTGGTTGGGTTTGATCAAATCGTCCACCTTGATTTCGCAGGCACCCACCTTGTCGTCAAATCCAATGTCATCGTCATAAACATTGACCTTGAGCACCAAATTCTTGAGGGACGACACTGGAATGGTAAAGGTTTCTCCATACACAGGATTCAAGTCATTCGATTTCTTGGTGGATGTGCATTTGCCCATGGTGTGATCAAAGACCCAATTGTCTTGTTCGACCACGAAGGTGACATAAGGATCCGTCTTGCCCATCCAATCTCCATCACTCAAATGGGTGAGTTTGTCCAAGTAAATGGTCAAGGTTCCGGCGGGTTTGGATGACATGCAGCCCATGATTATGTTTTGTATTTGTTTGTGTATTTGTTTCGTTGAGTTGAGTTGGGAACGACAAGACAAGTTCTTGTTGTTACTGTTTCTGTTTTGTTGTGCATGCATTACTGCATGATCAGACTCACTCACTCCTCTGGCTTCCGATTCGGGATGATTGCACTTGCAGTTTGGCTCTCGCTCGCTCGCGCACGCCGGCACTCGCCAAATGGGAAATATTTGGTATCTTTTGTGGCATGCATGTCACTCTACTCTAGTCCTAGCTAGTTGCTACTACAGTATGAATGAATTTATGAATTAATGGTGTATGTGGTGTATTTGTGTGTAATGTATTTCAATTAAAATTGATTGATGGGGCATGGTTCAACTTTCTTGTATCACACCGCCCAATGCATGTAGATAGCATACTACTTGTAGAACAAGAAGGAGTGGTCTTCTTGTTGAACCGATAGTAGCTACAGAGCCATCATCTGGCTGACTGGTACTACTACTACTACTAGGCCTACTACTAATTCTACTTCTATACGAGTACCTCTATGAGCAGGGAGTGTGCGCACCACCTCCCACTACTGCCCTTGTTGCCACCTTCGAGCATTTCCTTTCCGCCAACAAGAACATCCATCTGGCCCAAACAACCAATGAGCCAACAACACCAGCATGGTGATCTGGCCCCAAAAAAAGAAGAACGGCGCTACCGGTATATATGTATATATTCTTGTTGTCTCCGAATATAAGTAGTCCTTCAATACTTCTACTGCATCGACCTAATTTGTTATGGCAATAAGAGAGCGATGATAGCACTACATGAGCAGCAGTACCTCTCAATCCTTTTCATGGTCTGGCTGATGGTCTGGTACCAGTACTGCCGCCTGGTGAGGAGGATGGTCCAATCATCATGCTGGCAAGCTTCCTTGAGGACACTCGTCCTCCTCTGACCCTTTCATGATATTTGGATCGCACTGCTACATCATCTTCTATCTACTACTACTGTATTTATACTATATAGAAGAAGTAATAGCAAATCGTATCGTAGGCGCTGGTAGGGCCAACACAACTTCTTGTGAGATGCTTCTTGTTCGGTTTCATATAAAATTGCTACGACCGTACCGGTATGAGTATCGTAGTGCTGTACCCGCTAATTCGAGGAAATCCATTTTATGTTTTTTGGTACACCACGACTAAATACCTAGAATACGAGTATCTGTTATATATCTGATGTCAACCCTTGATTCCCTTGATTTGATCACTTGGGATAGTTTCTGTCGAGTGGATTGTGCCGAGAGTTTTGGAGCAAGACCAAAATAAATAGAAAGAGCGGCGTTCTACCCTCCCATTAAAGTCCACCTTTAATGGTGGCGCCAGCGAGAACTTAAGCCAAATCTTGCCCAAGTGTCGCACATGTCGTTCGTGAATCAAACTACGTTTCGAAATTGACCTGTTAAATGCAAAAATGAAAACAGATATGCCCAATGCTAGTATTCACGAGTACAAATGTTCTCTATGGGAGCGATTAAACTCTAGCGTTAAATGAGTTCTCTGTTAGATTTTTGGTGGTCTTCACTCGCCACACGAAAAGGCTCGCTCTACTTGTATGCATTTTTCGAAGCCAACATGTAGAGTCCACAAAATAGACAAGGCAACTTTTTAGAATGACAATGATGATGCAATCTCTTATGATCCTATTGTCGTTGGGCGCAGCACAATCCAGGCTCGGAAACACCCCTCCAGGTCTTGTGTCAAAGGTATGTGTGTCGTCGGCTAGAACAAGAAGAATCACATGCGCTTGGTCTTCTCTTGCTGTTGGCTTCAGCTTTGTTCTCACCATACCGTAATTGATGCTGCCGTTATACTCCGATTATACGCAAAGTTCAAAGAAAACGAACAAAACTTGCCCTGTACTCTGTACAACGCAATTGTGGAATACGAAGATGGCTCGGATACCAGCGAATGGATGTGTGAAGTCATTGGGCCAGATGCCAAGAATGCTGGGAGCAAATGGAAGTACGCAACCCTTTCTGTAGAAGGAATGGAATTTGTATTGAAAGCCAATCCAAACATTCAAAGTGGCCGTACCACCCTACTTGCACAAGGAGCTCGCTTTAACAACATCTTTGCTCAAGGTAGTCCCAAGCAAAAGTTGGTCATTTCGGGGAACAACAAACTTACATTTGGGGAAGCCGATCCAGAAGACATTGGTGAACGAAGAAGGCTCTCTTCTCCAACTGGCGATCTGTCAATTCTAGTGGTGCGAGTGACCACTTCTGATGCTTCCTTGACAAAGCAGAAGGCAGAAATCAGTGGCGATTTCTTTGGAACAACAGGAAGCGGGGATACCATTAACTTGAAAAGCCTTGTGGAAGGGTGTTCCAATAACGTTGCCACCATCAATCCGGGCTCTGGAACTGGCAGTTTTAATGTAGGGTGTCAGGACAACGTGGACGCTATCTTTGATGTTCAACGCAGCGATCCCGATACTACTTACAACTGTGACTGGTTCACCCGCTACCGATTTAGTACGCCGGGAGATTTGTGCTATAGCTATGGCTATGGTGACGCCATACAAATATTCCCCACTGTTGACGGTAAGCAATGATTGGTCGCTGGGAGATCTGTCGCCTCCAGTCCTGATACTGACTTTTACTTACGTTTCCTGTCTTACTGTAGCCACCAAAACGGCGAAGACGGAATGCTGTATTTGCGGCAGAACGGAAGAGACCATCGTCACATTCGACAACGATGTGCAGGACGGAGTCATGGATCTGCAACTGCCCATTAATGCCGTTGGGAATACTCATACAACGCTCGAGAATGCTGCTGTCGAAGAGCTGAAGAGTCTTTTTTCTGTCGACAGGCTTGATTCTCTATTTGACAATGTCATGTTGTGCTTGCCCAAAGGGTCCTATTCCAATGGAGACACAAGCCAGACCAACTGGCTCGCGTATGCCTATATCGGAGGGTCTGTCAGTGTGTTTAATGGCGATAAATGGTGTGCCAATGAAGTCACTCAATTGCATGAGTTGGGACATAATTGGAGACTTCAGTGAGTCGTTCTATTGCTTCCGTTTTTGTATTATTCATCGAGTTGATGATCCTAGGTTCTCATACTATTCACTTTTTAATTCTCCTACAGACATGCATCACAAGGCACTGCTACGTACGGAGACTTGACTGGGGCCATGGGCTCTACATACGGAAGGGGTGATGATGTCGCTGAAGGAAACAGAATGTGTTTCAATGGTGCTCACTCGTGGCAACTTGGTTGGTACACTCAATACAACCTAGAGATCGATCCATTGGCGACGAATTTTGATGGAACTCTAGTTGGAGCCGACCGAGTTCCAAATGTGTTGGCTAGCGAGAATGTTGTCTTGAAACTTGTCAACTCGCAGGAGGACTACTATCTCATCTTCAATCACGCGGTGGGAGCGAACGACGGTACCACTGAGGCTGACAATCGAGTCACAATTACGACCAAGACAACCAATAGTGCAGCAAAGACATTTTTGATAGGAGATCTTAGTCAAGGTGCTTCTATGACATTTTCCGCCTGGGCTGGTACTGCAGAGTCGGTAACAGTTTTGGTAACATCTATTGACACTGCTGCGGCCACTGGTAATGCAAAGGTAGAAGTGTGGAAAGGGCTGCTTGGAGATCGGCCCTCATCGGTACCTACCCCTACGCCGCCACCCACAAGTGCACCAGTATCCAATCCGAGTAGCGAGCCAAGTGGTGCACCATCATCGGTACCTACCCCTACGCCGCCACCCACAAGTGCACCAGTATCCAATCCAAGTAGCGAGCCAAGTGGTACACCATCATCGGTACCTACCCCAACGCCACCACCCACAAGTGGACCAACATCCAATCCAAGTAGTGAGCCAAGTGGTGCACCATCATCGGTACCTACCCCTACGCCGCCACCTACAAGTGCACCAGTATCCAATCCGAGTAGTGAGCCAAGTGGTACACCATCATCGGTACCTACCCCTACGCCGCCACCTACAAGTGCACCAGTATCCAATCCGAGTAGTGAGCCAAGTGGTGCACCATCATCGGTACCTACCCCTACGCCGCCACCCACAAGTGCACCAACATTCAATCCAAGTAGTGAACCAAGCGGTGCACCATCATCTATACCTACTCCAACTCCACCACCTACAAGTGCCCCATCATTGCTGCCTACAAATACTCCGCCGGGCAACAGCGGCAACGGTGGTGGGGGTGGCAACAGCAACGGCAAGAAACCGAAATAAATAATCTTACAATAAGAATTTATGTTGCGCTAGACCGTATTCAAGGATGGCGAAAGCACTGCATGGAACATAGGTTGATTAATAGACTAACTCACAGTGAACTGTGGTTTGTTCGTCCGTTCCTCCTATTTTGAATTTAGCGGTATAACGAAACTCCATCTACCGGTACGAACAGGACGCTCAAGGCTTCTTTGCTCTACTGAAGACCGTCGACTTTACGAGTAGCAGAGAACTAGAAGTCAGGCAGGCAGGCGTATCCAACTAGCAACTTTATTAGGTAACTAGTTTCAATGACTTCGATAACACACTGCATGTATTTCATAAAATGTCACTTTCATACATCCTATACAGTACAGATAAAGTGGTATAGTATTTCTAGATCATGCGTTGCTTACCGTGTGGTGCTGCTAATTGATTGCCCCGCAGTCTTATTGATAGACCGCCGATTGTTTCTGAAATACTTGGATATGCGTGCCCGTGCCATATCGTCTGTGACTGCCAGAAACTCCCCAAACACTTCGGTCGGTTGTAAAAATCGGCCTCCTTGTTCCTTAATCTGGTGTAGAATGGAATCCACTAAATCTTTCTTCATTCCTCGGTCCAACGAATCGTACTCATGAGAACGATTCTTGATTAGACGCTGCAGTAACTCGCTTCCTGGACTCCGTGCACCTTTACCAAATACCACATCGTTCGGTCTTGGGAAGTCTGAAATGATAAATCCGCCATGAATTCTGTCTCTTGACGCCTCTGGCCGTCGACGATTGTTTCGGAAGAGCTGGGTCACCTTTGCTCTCGCTTCTTCGAGACTTAGCTCTTCCCACACAAGTTGCCGTTCTGAAGTGCAATTGGCTTGCTGCTTCAAGAAACGACCACCTGCCTTGCGAATCTCGCCTAATAAAGCATCCACCATCAGCTTCTTCGTTTCGTTTGATCCAGCATCGTATTGCGATGAAAATTCCTTTATGAGAGCTCGAAGGCGCTGGTTTCCCATGTTGTTATTCTTCTTCCTGTCCACATAAAGTACATCATTAGCATTTATTTGAGTCACAGCCAATGGTGATGGAACATGACCACTTTTCTGTTTCTCCATCAAAAGATACGATTGGCACCAATTATGGTGAGTTTCCAAGTTTACCATGTAAGTACCAGGCCTGAAGGGAAGCATCTGGGATGGAATACCATAAGTTGACAACAGGTACTGACACTCTGTATGAGAACCAAAATGCATTCGAAGTCGTGCGCGTCTCTTTGCTGGCAACATTTTGACAGCCACGCTCCATAGAAAAGATTCGGCAGTATCCCTGTCTCCACACACATGGTTGCCAGCCATGTAGAGTGGAAGACTCATAGTTAGGCGCATATTATCCAAGTATCCTACACCTTTCTTTGCATCTTTATGATCACCAACAGTATACAGGATGGCAGCACAGCCCCGGATCTGGGTTTCTTGTGACCTCGAGGCGGTCATCAAAATGTAATAAAGGGCTCTCAATTCGTTTTGATGATTTGCAAAAGCTCTCAAACTTGGGACTTGTAGAAGTATTTGCCGATTCGCAGAGTCCCTACCTAAAAGTTGAGAGGCTCCTGTTTTTAGACATGCTATATCGTCCTCATCCAAGTCGTCGAGAGTGATATCCTTGACCAGTTTTTCGTCGCCAAAGATTTTGTGCTTTTGCTCAAAGAATTTCAACATTTGCTGCGCTGCCGCCTTGGCATCATACCTATTCCCACGAAGGAACATTATCCGGAAGGCCCTTGCACGGACATAGTCGGGGTTCATGCTTTCAGCTGTCTCATAATAAGTGCCACGTTTCGTGTTGTTCAAGTACTTGTCAAGATCTTGCAGAGTATTCTGAACCATATTTTCTTCTTCTCGCATTTGACCTTGGACACCATGGAGGATTTCTTGTTGTTGCTGTCGTTCTTCAAACGTGAGGTCTTTCAAGGCTTCAGATAGCATTCCATCGATTGTCCCCGTTCCCTCGCGTTTCTTCCATGATGTAGCATCGTTGGACGACTGCTGGCTGGTAACGAAGCCAAAACAACTTGATGTTGGTTGAAAATTTCGATCAAAAGAGCTCATGGTTTCTTTTGGAAAATGGTAGGGATAAAATATTGTACCTACCGTCACCAGTCAGCAATATTTTGTGCTGTGAAGAATGAAATAAGATGATGTAAGTTTTTTACCACATGTTCTCCGGTCTCCCCGTCGCCGCAGAGTGTGACTAGAAAATGACAATTTGTGGAGGAGAATTTCGCTGAGTGACCATCATGTTCAAGTAGAGCGCTGTCTTTATTTACTTTTCCTTAGACTTCGCGTTAAAAGATTGCCAGCACAGAATCGAAATTCCCGTTTTCAAAAATCTCGCGAATCCGATTTATTGTGATGATCAGAATAGAGGCCGGGCACCGTTAAACAAGTGCTATTATTAAAAAAGATATAGAATACTTGGGACACGTGCCTTCACACTTCAATCACCATTTTTAATCGGGATATGACAATTAAAACTGTAATCGTAACCACACAGCGCCTTCACAATGCTGCTTGGTTTGTGGTACAATCGCACCCTTATGCCTCTTTGATAGCCCAAGTGATCGAGGTGACAGTTGAGAAGGTACTCAGTTGTTGTTAGTTCTATTCTTTTGGAAGTGAGCTGCTCCTCGTCTTGTTGCTTGTTCTGGTTGGAGTTCTTGGAGCGTATAGCGGTAGTAGCGGTACCATCACTTCTGAAAAAGGCTGGCGATACTGGGCGACTGGGGACTACCATAGATTTTTGAAAGGTTTGGTTGGTACTTGTTTAGGCGCTTTACAAATGCCAAAACAGCAGAACGATGAGACCGCGCCTTTGCAAATATTCAATGTTGATCCTTTCAATTACTTTTGGAAATCCCCTCGTGCGTATCCCATTTGACATGCTGCTACTGAAAAAGCTGCTATTTCAATAGAGTAACTGACAGAGTATGGATAATCTCATGGCTGACCATGCTATTGTGGATCAAGGAACTGAAGCAGCAGATCATCACCATCACCACCACCACCACCATTATCATCATCATGAGGAAATACCCGAGATCTTATTCTTATACGATGGTGACGAAGATGTTCCTCAAGATGCGACACACGTCAAGGTCGATCCTTCCTTACGAATGATCTATGCACAGTCCTTCTTTGTACACTCACACCTTCGCCATGTGGAATTGCCCGAGGGATTGCGAATCATCAAAAGCCGTGCCTTTTTCATGTGTGAGGCATTGTCCAACGTTTGTTTCCCATCCACCTTGGAAGAAATTGAATCTGGTGCCTTTGTGGGATGTGCCAAGCTTTCGCAGGCTATACTTCCAAAGGGAATGAAAGTCTTGGGTTCGGCAGCCTTTGCCAACTGCGAATCCTTGACGCACTTTCAGGTTCCTCCTTTGATTGAGGTGATTGACGTCAGTCTCTTGTCCAACTGCAAGAATCTCTACTCCGTCGAACTCGCACCAAATGGTATCCGGAAAATAGGTTCCAGAGCGTTCAAGAATTGTCATCAGCTTCGGAACATTGTGCTTCCAGATTCCCTGGAGGTAATTGAAAACTTTTGCTTTTCTGGATGTACCTGTCTCCTCGAGGCTTTATCCATGGAGGATTGTGATAGTATCAATGCCAATGGTGTGAACAACAATGATGCCAGTCGAACGCTTCGTTTCCTTGAAGCGTTACAAAATCGATATGATTTGTATCCGTTGCACAAGCTGTGTTACTATCAGGGGTTTGACTTGTCATCGATAATGACAATATCAGCAGTATCCGAGGACAGCAGCAGCAACAACAAAAACAACACTTCGAATCATCATCAGAATCATGATGATCATGATTCGTCCAGTTGGAAGAGTATGCTTCAACAACAACAACAACAGCAACAACAATCAAAGGACCTCCATCGTCCTTCACAGGAGGGTGATCAAGCACAGGCATTTCAGACGGAAGACATTTCGGGCATGACACCGCTGCACGTCTTGGCCCTTGCGTCCCAACCCAACCTCGAACTGTGCCAAGCCATGGTCCGACTACTCCTCAACCATACCAATCATAATTCTGCTTTCTTCGTTTCACAAGGAAAGGATCGATGGAATCGTGATCCTCTCATGTACGCGTCGATGAATCTGACGTTTGAATCCACCGCCATGACCCAATACCTATTGGAAGCCTTGCTGTCCCCCAGTTTGAATGCCTTGGGCCTTGCCGCATGGCGTTCTCAAGTCAGACACGACATGGATCGATTGTTGCAAATGAGTACCACACGTTCGGAACGGGTGCAACACATGGAACAAATCCAAGTCAAGCTCAATTGGTATTTGCAAATGGAACGATTGTCGCTTTTGGAATTGGCCATTTGGAAGAATAAGAAGAAGGCAATACTCAGGAACGAATTAGTAGTATTTCTACCACTTGATCATGATCCAGGAAAACAACAAGAACAACAAGAACAACAACGAAATCGAGCCAACGCTCGGACACTTTGTGGAGCAGAAATAGTGGTGTCACATGTACTTCTCTTTCTTGGTGATCCTTGAACAAGATTGCAAACGCTGGTCGATACTAGATGTAACATGGTGTACAGATAAAATACAAATAAATAGCTGCAATAGACATAATAGATATATTTGTAAGTTGTCGATAAATAGACAAGTTATAATGTTATATGATAGTTCCAATATATATACCGGTATGGATGTGAAGTAAGTGTTTCATTTTTACATAGTTTGCCTCATTGGCTGACAAACGTTCGTACATTCTTCCCCTTTTTTTTCTTGTTTGTGTGTGTTTGTATGTACAGTGTGTGTGTGATTGTGTGTGTGTGTGTGTGTGATTGTGTGTTGGAGAGAATGCACTTTTAGCAGTGGTGGTGGTGGTGGTGGTGGCAGTGTTTTTTGTTGCACAATAAAACAATAAAACAAACTTTCGTTTCGCTTCATTTCATTTCATTGCATTTACATGAATCCAAGTGGATTCATTTCGCAACCCAATTGATGGTCCAACAAGGCATGCGTGTAATGTTCGGCCATTTCATAATCGTATTCGCCAATGCTGCAACTCCCTTGCTTTTCCGCCGTTCGCATGGCTCGAAAGGCTTGAAGTTCGCTCAACTCGGCGACCTTGACGAGGATTTCCGCCACTTGGTAATCAAAGTGATGGTCATTGTCCAAAATTCGAATCTCCCACAGGCTGCCGTCGCCTTTGAAATCGCTTTGTTCTGCAGACTTATCATTCACTTTGTCTGGTGTCACGGTAGGAGCTGTTGTTGATGTTCTTGTTACCTTGGTAACGGAGGGAGCTTCAGGTGCAAGCGTTGTGGCAGCAGCAGCAGAAGCAGCGGAATAAAGAGGCATGATGGAAGATATTCGGTTTGCCGTGGGTGACGAGGTGAGTGCTTGGCAGCAGGAAGATGAAGCCAAAAGAAGAAGAAAGGTGGTCACAAAGACGGTAGCAAATGGTTTGGAAAGTAGATTCATCATCATATTGTTGTTCTTGATTGATTGATTGATTTGTTTTGTCTGCTTTTGTTTGCTGTTGCTTTTGTTTGAAGTTGAGAATAATGATATGAGAATAGTTGATACCACGCACGACAGAGGATGGAGGGAGATTGTTTTGATTTTGTATTGTCGTTTGATCGTGAGAAGGAAAGAATTGATGTCGAACGCTAACGTGTCAGAATACGTGAGCGATCTTTTACTTAACTCCTACCAGAAAGTTACGTAGAAAAAAGATGTGCGCACGAAAACGCCTCTGACGTAAGCATCCTGGACGTCGTATGTGACAATGTTAGCGATAAGTAGAGAATCCAACGAATCATCATTCAATCCACGGCGTGACTCACTCGGTCATGTCAGAATCTATCCTTGGTCAGAACCATCCAAACCAAAAATCGTGCGAAAATAATAAATCTTGGTGATGATGATGATGTGATGGCAAATAATATTTCGCATCAATCGAAAAACTAACTTTTGCATCTCTAATAATTGTGCAATGACGCCACGAGCAACCAATTCATCTCTAATATGACGACCGAACGCAACAAATCATCATCTTCTTCTTCTTCTTCCTCCTCTCATGAGGAAACCTCCTCTATTCATCATTACAATAATCCTTCCCACAAACGACGAATCCCACTTCATTGGTTGGTCGAACGGGATGAGGATGAGGATAGTAACAACTCCAAACACAATCAAGAAGTCCTACTGCCTTCCTTTGTGGACTTGCAGCGAAAGACCCTTCAGACCTTGTATGGTGGAACGACCACTACTACGACACCACCATCAGCAACAGGAGGAGACAAATCTCCCAAGGGTTCCGTGGATGCTCCCATTCGTCCCTTGGTCGACTTGATCAACAAAAGGTCTACCTCCTATTGCACATTGTCATCCTGTTCGGGACGATTGTCACTCTTTGATCCCAATGAACGTCATCCAGGCATGCAAGGAAGTACTACTAATACTAATACTACTACTTCTCCTGATGATGCTTCTGTTATTGCTTTTGCTGCTTCAAAAACAACAACAACAACAACAGGAAGAAGTGGAAAAGGAAGAGGAGGCTGGTTACTCATTAGTCATGATCCCATTGCACCATCGGAATTGGTCAATTGTTTTCCGAATAATACTCATGATGATGATGGTAATTATGGTAATTATGGTAATAATCATGACAACAATACTACATCAGCAGCAGCAGCAACAACCGACACATCAACAACATCAACAACAATGATGATTCCATGGATCTTCAAATTGGAACCCATGCTCTTGCACATTGCCGCTTGTTCCCTTTCCAAAGGAAAGCAATTGTTGCAGGTGGCACTGGAATTGGGATTTCGGGAATCGGGTTTGGTGGTCAGTGACAATCGTGTCACGGTCGCCATTCGGGGACATTCCTTGAGTCTCAGTGTGCCACTGGCTCCCCACCACGGACCCCTCAAACCATCTCGGCAGTATTTGACAGCGCTGGCCCAGCAAGCCAACGATCGACTGGAACTGAATTGGCGTCAATTGGATCGTCTTTACGACCGAATCGAATCTACCATCTTTCGAATAGGCGGCATTGGTCCTACAATTATGGAGGCCACCAAGATTCCCTCCTTGAACTTGTGGAGTGCGGCGACGATAGCAATCTCGACGTCCACGGATGACAATGATGATGAGAATGACAATGACAATGAGAATGATGTCACCATTTATTCCTTTGGAGGATATGGAACTGGACCAAAAAGCAATACTAATGCACACAATACTACTAGTAGTGCTCGACGTTCCAATGAGATTTACAAATTGCAGCGTCGTCGTCAATTTTCAAAGGAAGAATGGTCAGGTGACGACTGGCAACCTGTAAAAATTCAGATTAATGATCACAACAACAGCAGCAACAGCAACAACAACAAATTGGGTCCGTTGCAAGTATCATGGGTACCCAAACTTCCAGACTGTCAGGGAATGGGTGCTGTCAAGCTTGCTATAACAACAACGACAACAACAACAGCTACTACTACTACAACATCTACAGGCGAAAAGAAAAGTTTCATGATTCTATTGTGGGGTGGACGAATGGGTCCCAACAAGCCAATGGGAAAGGACATTTATTTGTTTGATCCCGCATCTTCTTCCTTGGCAATACCCTTGGATGTTCGAGGGACTCCTCCCACACCAAGGTGGGGTCATTCCATGGTGGCACTGCTGAATAATGCAAACCACCAATCATTTTTGATATCGGGTGGATGCAACTTGGAAGAGGGAGCCATGGACGAGGTTTACATTTTGCATTTCTGTGAAACCTATCTGTTCTGGGAACGTCTTGTTCCTACTCTGCCAACACCACTCTTTCATCACATGAGCGTACTACTAGCAGTGGAGGATCCCAACAACAACAACAACAACAACAACAACAACAGTAATAGTAGTACTGTTTGCGTCTTTGGTGGACTACAATCCACAACCAACTTGCTCGAACCCTTTCAAAAGCGTCGAGTACTACGACTGTCCAGCAAAGACAGTAATAATAATCATAAGGACGAGGAGAATCTCATTTGGGCCATTCGAATTCAAAAGACTACTATTGATTCCTCCACGGGAAAGGTTTCCTCAACGGTACAAGTCATTCAAAAGACATTTCTTGCAGCAACGAATACTACTACTACTACTACCACCAATCCTTCCAAACACCACAAAGCGACGTCTTGCATCAATGGTCTAAATCGGTTTGGAGCAGCGGCGAGTAATTCCAATTCACTCATGCTCGTCTCTGGTGGACTGGCATCCTCTTCCTCTTCTGGTGGCAATACTAATAGTAATGATGATGTTGATTCGACGCCACTCGCATCATACTTTTTGACGGGGGATCGGGACCGCATTTCCATCACCAAGATACCATTGGAGTATCAGCATTCTAAGAACGACGACGACGACGAACATGTGGCATTGGACTTTGGCTCGTTGGTGCATCACACGAGTGTTTCGATTGGGACGAATGAGTTTCTTCTCATTGGCGGTGGGGCAACTTCCTTTGCGTTTGGACACAGCTTTGCAAGGTATGTATCACCACAACCACACGGATTTTTTTCGAATTGTAAACAGTCATGTATCTTCTTTGTTGGTCCCTAACCAATCATTGCTACCTTTACTTTTTTGTTTGATATAGCTCCTATCACATTCGACTAAAGATGCGATCCGTCGATTCGCAACCAGCCCTTCTCAAGAATAAGACTGAATCCAAGTCAGTAGCTGCAGCCAATAATGGTGATGTTATCAACAAGAAATCATCCATGACACATGTCGTGACAGTAGCACCAAAGGATGCCAAGGCCGTCAAGACCAAGTTGCAAAGTTTGGGATGGTTGGACAAACGATATCGCATGATCAAGCAATCGCCACAGATCATTGCGGTACCAATAATCGAGTCGAGTGCGTTGGATTCCATGCCGGAAATGCTCGAGAATCCATCCGAACCTTGGCACTCGTTACTGTTGGGCCTTGGGCAAGAGGATATGCCGTTTAGTACATCTCAATTTGCATCCAAAGGAAAGCGATAATAAAAATAAGTATAGTAGGAGGAATAAGCCATATATCCCTGTCATTTATGTTAGCTCGAATCTGATTATTACTATTCAACGGCCATTAGAAACGGTACCACATTGGATATTACAACGTCTGCTCCACAAAGCGTTCGAGATTGTATTCGATTTGACGGCAGTGTCATTTGAGACGACGAGGTAGTCGATTGGCGACTTCTCTTGGACGGTCGTTCCAAAGTTTCTTCGGTGGTGGAAGGATGGAGCTGATCCATCTTCGTTTTCCACATGGTCCATTCGATCAGACACATCTTTTCCTTGTTCCGGTACTTTTCCACCAGTCTTAGGACTCGCTGGATCTGAGCGGACCGTGCTCGGCAGTCGTTGGATTCGTCCATCTTGGAAATGTAATTTGCAATTTGACGCTCCCAAACTTGCAAATGGAAAGTATCCAGTATGGCTGGTAGAATGACCTTGGCTACAAGCTGCACCAGCTTTAGCGAGTTTGGTGGTGCACTTTGACAGAGATAGATTACGGGCAAGCGGCCCCAGGCATCTTCCATCGTATGGTAGTCCGAATAATGTCGGACTAGTTGCAGAGCAACTTCCACATCAGGCTTGGAGGACAGAGCGATAATGTGCAGTGGGCACATTTGAAAGATGTCCGTATCGGGAGGTCCCTCTTCCTCTTCTTCTGCAAAGAAGGCAGTCATGGCATCCATCACCGTGTCCACATTTTGGAACGAGTGAAAGTAGGCCAGCTTGTGAATTGGTTTCCCATCAAAACGATGGCGAAGGCTTTCCAACATGGCACCAGCATCTGATGGTAGAGCCTCCTTTAGCTTGGTGCAGCCATCAAAGACATCTTCACCAATTCGGTCGACAGTAGCAGGGAGAAAGAAACTTCTTAGGTCCTCGCAATTTTGAAAGGCCCTGGCTTCAATTCGTTGCAGCCCATTTTCTGCCATTTCGACGGAAAGCAAGTTCTTGCAATCCAAAAAGGCGCAAATCTTGATGATAATCACAGTAGAGGGAATCCGAACAGTCATCAAAGAAATACACTGTCGAAAGGCCTTGGGAGCAATATTCTGAAGACCTTCTGGCAAGTCCAGAGTGGTCAGTCGAATGCAAAAGGAAAACGCATGACTTCTTACGAGATGAATACCCGAAGGAATCTTGACCGTCTTGAGCCAGATACAAGAGACAAAGGCACCTGTGTCTATTATTTCCAATCCTTGCCTTAGACATAAATCCTTCAGATTGTAGCAACCAGCAAACGCAAAGGATCGAATTTCTGTGACGGACTCTGGAATCTCCACAGACTCCAATTCGCGGCATCCTTCAAAGCAATCCCTCCCAATAACTTGCAAACCAGCACCTAGCCGAACAGCGATCAGTTGGCGCCGATTCTGAAAGGCTTGCTGCGGAAGTTGAACCACAGAGTCTTCAATAGTGGCATTCTCCACATCGTCCGGAGGATTACTTTGACCATCCGAATAGAGGAATCCTGCATTTCGTTCCGCATCATCATTGGGACTTATTCTGGATTCAACATTGCCATCGCTGCTTTCTGGCGATATAGGATTGCTTTCTAGAGATAATTCTGCTGTTGCTGCGTCCATCTCGTATAGTTTGATGGACGGTGACGATGATTATGATGATCAACCACCAGCTGTGCAGAAGAATCATCAGGATATGAAGCGCAATGCAAAAACCAATAATAAAAGTCATTGAATGAAAAGGCTATCGTAGTACCCTTCAGAGCAACAAAAAACTGAAGCAATAGTAAACCATTACCACCGCTTTCTCTTCAGCAGCCTTTTCAACATCATGGGATTGGAATAAGAAAACGATATCATCTGCTCTACGTCTAAGAATCTGGTTGTTGAAGGATGGGAGCTCTCAGCGCCTTGATGAGATGCCTCCTGGGAGTTTGTCGATGCCTTTGTTCTACGTTCCTGAAACTTGTTGGCAGATCCAAAGGCTTGCGACTGCTTGCCGTCTTGATTCTACTGTATTCCATCAGTCTGGTAGTACTTTACTCTCATAATACTACGATATCACCGATATCTCCGAATCATCCTTGGCAATCTTCAATGAATGGTGGTGTATCATCACCCAAAGAGGAGTTTCATAATCAGAAAGAATCAATCCACTGGCAGCGTGACAGTACCTCTTCGGACGAGGTCTCCGCTTGTATATTGGTCATGGATGACAACCATTATCTTATTGAATGGATAGCCTACCATTATCACGCTGTCAATCTACGAAATCTCATCATTGTCAACGACGAACACAGCATGACATCGCCCTACTCTGTATTGGAAAGATGGAATGGTCGCATGGACATTTTGCAATGGAAGGACGAGCACTACATGGATGCAGCCGAGTTTAAAGCCGCCCAACAAGAAGTGATCAATTACTTTGGAAATGACATGCCGCCCAGTTTAGTACTGCACCGTGCGCGACAACGATTGTTCTACTACAAATGTCTGCAAAATCTAAAAGCACGGGGAAAGTCATGGGTGTTGCTGACCGACAGTGATGAATATGTCCGACTGAATTACGACTTAATTGGGAAATCCAATTTGCAAGCTTTACCGATGCAAGAACCTGGTTCCGTCAGTAGCTTTTTGAACCAACATGCCCTTGTCCAGTCGAAAGATGATGGGGTCAATAAGAAAGAAGACTCATCGCCCATTCAAATGTTGCAGTCGTCCCCGTGTGTCCAAGTTCCAAGACTTCGATTTGCCGGAGGAGAAGAATCTACCGGACTCATACATGAAAACTACAATGCCAGCGATTTCTTGACGTTGCGATGGACCTCACATGCACCACCAACGGATTACAAAAGAAACAAGATATCCAAGGCCATTGTGGATGTTTCGAGAATCCCGCCACAAGATCTCCTGCCTGTCGACAGTATCCATGTACCAGTCCGAGCCGTTTGTCAGCAACGACGCCTCCATGTGCGCATGTCCCAATCCTTTTTGGTCATTCATCATTATCTGGGGGATCTTTCGCAATATCTCTACCGAGAAAATGATGCACGCACGTTGCGGTCTGCCGACAAGTATGCGGAAAGTAAATCTCTTGTCAACCCACAAGTCAGCAAGGCGATGCAACCGTGGCTGAATGGCTTTTTGACAACCACCACAACCACCACCACCGTCGATCAGTCATCCTCTAATCATGCCTCCCCTCTGAATATTATGGGTGCCAAGGACTTGCTGGCAAATGTTGGCAAACTCCAACCCAAGAGTTGGCAAACCTACAATGGACCTGAAAACCAAGACCGGTGTGCCCTTTGCTTCTTTGGTCTTCCAAGAGCTTACAAAACACTGGTCCTACCAAGTATTGTTCAGAACCTTCTCATTCCCAATGCCAGACACAACTGCGATATTTACGTTCACTACTACAAACAATACGAAGAAGAAGCAGGGAGACGGAATCGAGGGGGCAAAATCAATCCAGACGACATCTTTCTACTCGAAGAAGTGGCCAAAGAGACTGCAGCAAAATATGGTAACAAGGATGGGAGGAATGCAGGCAGAGTTCCGAATATTCAATTCACCTACGACACGGACGAGATGTTCCTGGAAAAGAGAAAGGAGTTACTGGAGAAATACCACAACACCATGGGACCTGATGGTAAACCAGCATACTTTCCTTGGGGAACCAAGACATACACGTCAACAAGCCTGGACAATATGGTTCGTCAGTGGCATTCCATCGAATTTGCATTCAAGCTGATGGACTTTGCAGGCAAGCAAAATGGAGTCCAGTATTCCCGGGTCGGCATGTTTCGGAACGACGCCATGTTCTTGACACCGATCGATATTGCCTTGATGGACAAGGGCGTGGCGGATACCAAAAACATGGTGTTCAGTGTCGCTCCGTTTGCTAGATATCCCATCAATGATCGAATGGTATATGGTCCCTACAACGCCATTAAGATTTGGTCGACCAAACGATTCGAACTGATCGAGAAGCGAGTCCAATTGGCGCAAGACCCAGGGTTCGAGATGCACTCGGAGCGATTTTTGAACGGGACCATTTTTCCAGCGATGGAAGCTGTGGGATACAAGATGGAGATGAATCGGGACGTCTGTTTTGTTCGTACCAGAGCCGACGAAGCTGCATTGGCGAATGACTGCACTGTGGGAGGCATGACTCGAGGCTTTGGAAGTGTCAACAAGAAAGAACTTGTAGAGAGTATCGTTGGAAAGAATTGTACATCTTACAAGATGGGCTTCAAGTGGCTGGGAGTTGGATGTGGGGACGGGATCAAGTACTTTGACGGAAAGCAGTGAATTTGAAATTCGTTTCTCGTGTCACTTCGAGTCTCAGATACGCTACGAGATGTCTCCTCCCCCACATGTACTGGTAGATTATTAATACCCCGAAATATGCGCTTGTTGAAGAACGCGGCGGCGCAACGGCTGCCGGCCGGCAGTTTTTCCATGCCATCTGCTTTCATACCGTACACGTACAGGTTTAATCATCCGAGAAGAAGCCATTGGAAAAAATATGAGAACCCCACGAGCGAGAACCCATCACGCAAAATAGATTTCAAGATTTGACACACAATTTCCAAAACGCCAGGAAAAGTAATACCAAAACAAACAAACATGTTTCGATTCCTACAACTCGCTCTTCTCTTCAGCGCAGCTACTGCATTCACTACCATGCAACCAGTGTCTCTTCGTCAGGTACGTCCAGCCATGCACATGTCCACAGCAAAGATCCTTAGATGAATCCAAGGAGAATGATTCATTCGGATTCGGATTCGCATTCGGTCATGTCCAAAAATCCATACTCACCATTCTTGACCTTATACTTCGTAATGCTACATCACAGCCCACTGTTTGCAACCTGGTCATGTCCGACAAGGAGGTAGCAGCCATTTTGGACCAAGCCAAAGGATGCATGGGAGAAGAATGCTCCGTCGATGAAGTCGACCAACTCCTGACTCTGCTCAAGGCCACTGAAAAGGACTTGAACAGCCGAATGAAGGATGTTGTGCGAATGATTGGCGAGCTCGATCACTTGAATGGAAAGGAGGAGCGAAAGCCTGACGAGATCAAGTCCTTTGTCAAGGACATGATGAGTGTCTTTTCTCACACTGTAAGCAATCCCATTGTCTCGTCGTGGCAGTTTTGAAACGTGCTGTCGGTTGTCGATACAGAAGTGCATTTATTTTCACTCGTGCTCACTAAATCTGTTATTATCATCATTATCAACAATACAGAAACCCAAATTCAAGCCCACTGGATACTCTGGAGATATCGGCGATGGTCCAACCACTGCCTACGATGCCCTCCCACCCAAGAAGTGGAGCAAGCCAACTGTCTAAATCAATCGCGCCTATATCTTAGCTTGCAATCGATCGTTTTGGATATGGCCAGCGGGACAACCATTACGTATAGCATAATACATACCATTTAGAACAACCAATTAGGACTCTTTTAAATCATTTGTCGTACCAACGATACTAGTGCAGCTCGTTCTGCGTGTGCCATTGGCCGTCGAATATCTTTTTTGTTGCCCACGATCAGCCAATCAAATGTTGCTGTCGCTTCTATTTTGCTGGTGGAGTCTCATGTAACAAAAGAATTTGCAATGAAAGTCGAATAGAGGAAGAAGACATATTGTCGCCAGAATCAACAGTACCGCTACTATTGTCAGCTCTTGTCGTTCTTTACAGTCGCAAGATTCAGATTTCTGACAGATTCAAGAGAGAAAAAAGGGTTGGTCGGACGAGTCATTCGATACGTCATCGACGACGATCATCATGATTACTCAACCGTGATTTATCATCAGTCAATCATCAGAACATAAGCTCCATAGCATCATCGTCTATACCATGCGACCAAGCAGTGTGATCCTCTTGCCAAATCTTGCTCTCCTCTTGCTGTGCCTCTCTGCTGCGATTGGTCGTATCAATGCTTTGTCGTCGGAGAATCATACCAATCGTCCATCATCTTGTTCCACCACTCGGAGGCGGCTCTTGATGGAATCGATGAGCAAAATATTGACCGCAACTACAGTGACAACAGCAGTGGCGACAACAAACAGCAGTCCAGCGTGGGCAGCCAAAGGTGCAGCCGAACTAGATTTTGAATTCTACATGCGAGATCTTGTGGGTGGAAACAAACGAGAGGGAACCATCTTGCCATCCGAACCATTGCCCGTTGCACCACCACGAACTTTGTCCGGTCCATTGATCCCACTCTTGCTCAACAAAGAATGTTCTGCTTCATGCATACCAGTACAAGCTCTAGTACAACAGATATTATCACAAAAGAACGGAAACAATAGCAACAACAAGGATGACGAAGATAAGATCACCAAGGAAATTCAGCAAAAAGTGCAATTCCTTCGAGAAAAAATAGGGAAATCTTTCTACACCAAAGCTCCATGGCAAAAGGAAGAAGTCACGGATCAGTATTATTTTGACCTTACAGCGTATGCATTATGGCGAACGGCAGCCGAACTGTTGCCAAACTTTGTAGATCGTGATCAATTCGTCCGAAGGTTTGGAAGATTGCTATATCAAGCAATGCAAGATCAAAAGCTGATACCCAGTAGTCAACCTTTGACTGCTCCAAGCTTGGTTCGGTCTCTACCTCAGGTACTTGCCGTCTTGAATCTGTTTCAGTCGAGTAACTTTTGTAAGGGATTCAAGATTCGACAGGACGATAGCAGCAAGGATGATAAAGGGGATCCTGTCTTTGATGACCTCGATGATGAAAGCCTCGTGACTTCTGGGCTTGGAGTTGACTGTCTAGTGTCAGTGTATGAACCATCCACTCTTGGTGCCAGCTTGCAAATCAATGGAGAGCAGAGTCGTTTTGGTCCTGATTTGGTAGGCCCGACTTTGGCAGCTGTCTGGGAACAAGCTGGGGTCAAGTCTGCATGGGAAACCTTCTTTGTGGACCCAGAATATAGACCGAATCCAAAGGATTACTTTCCAAATGAACAGGTGAGTAAAGTGAGGTATTCGTTGATTTTAGCCACACATCAAGACTCTTCTGCCGAACTGACCATCATGTTTCAAATCCCAAATCACTGGCTTTCTGCTTCTTCGATACACCATTATATTCAGTTGTTGCAATTCTCCCTCTCTCGAAAGCGGTAGCTTATCTTCGATGACATCCTTTCAGCTGGTACCCTGTTGTTGCCATTGCTCTGCAGAGACGACATGGGCATTTGTTTCGTGAACTTCTTTGCTGCGTATGCGGTATCCTTTCTCATTTTCTGGTCAGCAGGAAGTTTCAACATGTGTTTCTGTAAAGTTCTCATGATAAATATAATTCGAGGTGGCTGTTGCTTTGAGTAGGATGGACAGCAAATGATTGAACGCAGAGACCAGCTATGCGATGGTTGACTCCAATTGGGAATTTCAGCACAGTGTACAGTATATAGTGCCGATTTTGTTTGGTAATAATTATACCGTATAAAAAATACCGGTCCAAAATTCAATCCTTCATTTACACGTGTAAAGCACAGTATGACCAAGGATATGACGTGTTCGACCGGTTGCACTTGTTAAAGAAGATGATTCCATCTCAATACATTGCGCTGATTCGACCAAATTTTTATCATAATGACCGAAACGAGACCAACGAGAAATCTTGTTAAAAGCGCATTTTCGCAGTACTCGTCCAAGTGAAAATGCGCTTACTATAGGTAGAACAAAATGTGATAACAAGTACAATTGCAACAACTACAGTATTCATCCGTTTCCCATCATGACGGCTTCGATAATGGCCGACGATCAGAGAGTGTCGTCTCTTTCAGAGACGCAAGATATCATCCTTTGCACCTTGATGATCTTCTCAGGTGTTCTCTCAGTATTTGGAAGCTCCACAATTGTCTACCGGGTACTAAAGAATCCAACGGGAACCAACAGTTATGTTCGCATCATGCTTGGTCTTTCTTTCTTCGATATAGTAGCATCGATTGCTTTCATCTTGACACCGTTCATGCTACCAGCGGAAACGAGTCACCGCGTCTGGGCAAGGTAAGAAAACTTTGGTAGTCAGTCGCACCTTTTGCTTGACCAAAATATCACTCACACTTCCTCTCGTCGCATCACCAACAGTGGGACTGCTGTTACTTGCTCTTTCCTTGGATGGATGACACAACGTAAGAAAGCTTAGATTTCCTCTTGACAGTATTTTAATAATCAATCTAACGTTCCTTCCCCCTAATTCAAGTTTCCTTCGCGGCCGCGGCATACAATGCTGCACTTTCATTCTATTTTGTGGCAACTTTGAGGTATCGCGTCAGCAACGATGACTTTGCAGCCAAATACGAGGCTTATATACATGTGTTCATTGTATTCGTGTACCTCTTCACAGCTACATTTGGGGTGCCATTTGATTTGTACAGAGAGGTCCGACTAGGTATGCGAGATTCTGTGAATTTGCATTTCTACTGTAGCGTTGTCGAAAGTTTGCCTCGAGACTCACCGCCATGCTTTTGCTTGAACTTGAAGGACATGGCTGCTGGATTGCGGATGTTCCGGGAAACTGTTGGGTTGAAGGTGGCTGCGTTGGACCGACCATCGGTTGGTTTTACGGAGGACTGATACTGATGGTGACATTTGTGTGGTAGGTTGAGTTTTCTTCGCGTTCTTTGGTCTACTCATCCCGTC